GTGCTGCATAGTATTCCATTGTGTGAATGTACCAGAATTTCTCAGTCCATTCATTTGTGGTTGGACCAACACAGTTTTAGAAAGTATGTATAGGCACAGCTCAATATGATAGTCCTTAACCACAAGTGGCTGATAAAATGAAAAATTTAGTTTCTCCATGATACTACCTAGATAATCTGTGGCTTTAGCTTCTTTTTTTTTTTTTTTTGCTTTAGCTTCTTTTGTTTGTGCAAATACAGAACGTATCCATCATCAAAAGTTCTATAGGATAGAGCCGTTCTATACTATTTTGGAATTTTCAAGTATTATTTGAATTCTCTAAATAATTCACTTTTTAAAAATGTATTTGACACCATTTGTTGTTACATGTCTTGTAGTTGGAACTGACCCATAGCTGACCCTCCAGTAGCTTTTCAGAGACAATAAATGGCATGGGAGGAGATTGCCCATCCTTCTCCCATAGAGGAGCTGATGGATTCAGAATGCATTGCTTTGGAGATTACAGCACAGCTTTTTACTATTAGGCCACCAGAACTCCCTTAAATTAGCAAAGGCCTACAAAGCAAAATACAGAGCAATATGCTAAGAGCTAGAGTCAGGGAATACAGAGGGAAGAACTCCCTCTACATCAGAGAGCTGCACAGTCAATAAGGATGATGGAAAAAGAATTGATGCCTTTGAGCTGTGGTGCTGAAGAAGAATACTGAACATCCATGGACTGCCAAAAGAGCAAACAGATATATCTTGAAGAAAGTACAGCCAGAGTGCTTTTTGGAGGCAAAGATGGTAAAATTTCATCTCTCAGACTTTGGACATGTCACTGGAAAAGTGGAGGGTCAGCAAAGAAGAAGACCCCCAATGAGTTAGATTAACACAGTGACTACAGTAGTGGGCTCAGGTGTGTCAGAGAAAATGAAGATGGCACAGGACAAAGTTCATTTCTAATCATAGGATTTCTGTGAGTCATACTCAAAAGCACCTAACATCAGTTTTTTCATGTAAATAATCACATTAGATAGCTGATACCCTTGGCAGTGACAAATCTTTTAACACGTTGCCGCAAATGATGGCAAAAAAATTGTGTTTCTAAGCACGGCCGTCAATTTAAAAGAACGTGTTAAGTATAACATTAGTTAACGATTTAAGATGATGAAAAAGAGACGTTTTTCCTGCCTCTTCGAGGCCCTTTATTTTCACCAATTACTCCTGTGTTCTTTGGGGTAGAGGGAGCAGAAATGAGAAGATGAAAGAGGAGGAAATCCTAGAGTGTAGAATTCTGATGAACTAAGGAGCTGTTCTCTACTAATCCTCCCTATTGTGTGTGAGTATTACTGTGGATTTAGACTATAATACATAATCTAAAATTGTCTTTCTTTAGATTTATGTGGGAGAATTCTAATAGGAATACACCAACTGACAAGCCCAAATTGCTAGCTCTTAGTAAAAACAATGAACTGTTCGTCTATGAATTTAATTTGAAAGATGGAAGATGTGATGGAGCCATTTTGTACAGCTGTAATGGGGAAACATTACAAAAGCTCATCAAAGACCAAAGTATCAGTAAGTTTCTACAAGTGGTATTTCAGCATGTTTTAAATTTATGAGAGGTAAAATTAAGGAAAAGAGCTTGTCTAGATTTGCATTTATTGGCTACAAATAGTCACTAGTTACATGGGGCTATACAATGCTTAAATTGTGGTTAGTATGAATAATGATATAATTTGAGTATGTATAAAAATGTATCTGAAAAGTAAAATGACAAATATTTATATTGATAAAATGTTGAAATGATCTTATTTCAGATATATTAGACTATTACATATTAAAATTAATTTCATTTGTTTAAATTTTTTTATGTAATTACTAGACAATATAAAGCTACATATAGTTACACTTGTAATTTGCCTTATTTTCTGTTAATCAGAGGCTGGTTACAGAAATATTGACAATGCCTCAGCCTGATGACTGCCAGGAGCCGAAAGCACAGTGCTCAGGCTTCTAATTTTAAGACCATAGCATACACACTGCCCTTGATCTGTAGGGCTCCTTCTTAAATTTAAAAAAAAAAAAAAAGATGATTCTTGCTTTGTAAGGTCCTTTGGGTAAGCAGGTTTTTGTTTGTGGGTTTTTTGTTGTTGTTTTTTTTTTTTAATCTTCTTTGTGGTATGTTGTCTGACTCTGGCCATAAATAGAACAAACAGGATTATTGTAGGCTAGCTTTGTTTATTATTTGTCTCTCTCTCAGTGGATATATAAGTAGTTACTGTCTAGAGTTGAACTTAGTTCAAGCTATTACTTTTGTTTTGCTTAACTTGTTCATGTTATGTTCACAGAATCAAATTTACCAATTGTAAATTGTGACTGAGTTTTAAAATAACATCTTTTTGTTTCTTAGGTATTTCTTTATCATCTTTGATAATTCTGTCATTTAATAACAACACATCATCATTGTTCATCAACAAATGTATGGTCCTGCACATTCTGTTTCCTGAAGAAGCAGCTGAGATTAGAGGGCTCAGCTGTTTCATGCTGCCTTTGCCTGTACAGGCAGTGGATGAGATTATTGACACACAGCTTTGCAGAGGAATTCTTTTTGTTTTGAATAGGTTAGGTTGGATCTGTATCCTTGATGGTAAAAATATTGATGGTAAAGAGAATGCAAAGATTAGCCATTTTAGGTGTTTAATTTTGGATTCAAGAAGTGGAAAAAGGGTTAATTTTTAATAAAACTTTGTAGAGGAATAGATCCTCATGTACCTATAATATCCAATTAAATCACGTTTAACTTTTTTTCTGTCTGTATCTTTTTCATTTGGTGCTCTCTTGGTGTAGACTGGAGGGAGTTGTGCTGTTCATCTGAAGGTGCCGCCTCCTTAGCTGTTCAAATCCACCAGTAGCTCTGCGGGAGAAAGATGAGCAGTCCCCTCCCATGTAATTTACAGCTTCACAAAACCCACTGGAGGGTCAGCTGTGAGTCTCTCCCAAGTCAACAGCAATGAATGAATGAATGAATGAATGAATGAGTTAGTAATATTTTACTTGTTATAATCATATATAATTATCTTAGGCAAGGAGGATGAAATTTCATCTCATGTCCTTTGGTTAGGTTGTCAGGATGAACCAGTTCTTGGAGGAAAAAAAAATCATGCTACAGAATGTAGAAAGTCAAAAAAAGAAGGTAGAAAGTCATTGAAAGAAAGGAAGACCCTCAACAAAATGCATTGGCACAGTGACTGACAATTTGGAGACTGTGAAGATGGCACAGAATAGGGCAAAGTTAAGGCTTGTTCATAGGGTCACTATGAATTATAGCCAACTTGATGATACCTAACAATAAGAATCACATTTTTATTTTTTTAAAAATCATAAGTACTCTGCTTTACCCATTTATTAAAAATATATGTAGTGAATACTTAATATGCCCTTGTTCTTAGAAGGATTTAGATGACTGCTTTTCTCTTATGCAGTGATATATATTTTTCATTGATTAATACAATCCACCACTTATAATTTCTGCTAATTTCCTAGCATTTCATTATTTTAATGATCCATATGGCTTACTTAATTGTTTTTAATTTGGTCCTGGAAAATATTACAGTTCTTATGTTTCTAGAAGACCTGTAAGTCATTAGTAGGATAGTAAGATAGTTTGACAATTTGAAAAATGACTCCTTGTGCAAATTTTGAACCTTCATTTCTATACTAAAGGAATTGCTTTCTACTTCAGCAGTATCATATGCTGTGCTAAAATTTCTATGGAAAAAAAAGTCACACTAGATTAACTTTTGTTGCAGGGTTATAGAACTGCACTATCTAACATGATAACCACATGTAGCTTTTGAGCCCTTGAAATGTGTCTAATACTACCAATTTAAAAATTGATGCTCGATTGAAAACAAATTTTAAGCATGTTAAGGACAGCGTTGATTGTCTCAGTTTTTAATTTAGAAATTTTATGGCATTTAAATATAAATCAGTTTTCCATCAAAATTTAGCATCAAGATTGAGATGTGCTGTAAGTGTAAAATACATAGGCACTTGAAGGCTTAGTACCAAAAAGGAAAGTAACACATGCCAATCATTTTTATATTGATTATATGTTAAAATGTTATTTTTGATATGGTGAGTTTTATAAAGATTAAACTTAGGTGCAATTAATTCCTTTATACATTTTTAATGAAGGTATTTTTGTTACCGTTAGGTACCATTGAGTCGGAACCCATAGTTGACTCACCAGCAATTTTCAGAGACAGTAAATCACACAGAAGGAGACTGCCCATCTCCCTCTCACAGAGCACCTCATGGATTTGAGCCATGTGTCTTAGTACTGGCAACACAGCTGCTTGCCGTTAGGCCACCAGAGCACCCGATGAAGGTAATTGAAACCTATGATTATACTGTGGTTTCAATTATATTTTTCTTGAACAGTGCTATTCAAGAACACTAATAGAAAATAACAAGAATATTGAGAGGACCTGGCACAGAGTAGATAGATATTCAAGTTATCATTAAGTGAACCCCAACTTTCTTCTCTGCTAGGTCTGTCTCAGTCCACTCTTTGTTTTACTATACGTATAAGATGTAAGTGGTACAATTTTTCCTCTCTGTCTTATTATGTATTTTAAATAATTAAGCATATTTAAAACTTTTATTTCTTTAACACTAACTCAAGATGTTTTTGACATCGTGGATGGTAGACATATAGCTCATGTGGACTTAGCGCTTTGTCAAGAAGATGAGTGTCATGAACATCAGCAAGAACCAGCCACAAAAATGTCGTTTACATCAATGAAAGTGTCTCAAGACCTAGATGCTGTTGTCATTGTCAGCTCCTCCAGTTCTGCAATTGCTCTTAACTTGAATTTGTATTTCAGGTATGTAGATTACTGAAATTTCTCATTTTAAATCAATTACTAGAACCATAAGAAGTTTAGAATGTACTTCTTAGCTTTTTTTTTTAAATTTGTTTTAAATAGTTATCTTTTTCTATTCAGTTAAATCATATTCTAGATCTACCTCTCTTCTTTACTCGGATATAGGATGTCCTTTTCATTTTATCAAATTCTGTTCACTCTTTGAGACCCAATTCATATCTACCTCTTTTATGAGCATTTCCTCATGTGCTTGTTAGCCATCTGAATGTCGTCAAATTGGCAAAGCG